TACTTACTCGTGAATCCTCCTGGTGTTCTCCAAGAACGTCCAGTTTGCAAGTACTGACCTCCCCTCAGTCATGAACTTGAAGAACATCATTACCCGGCCCACCTTTGACTTTTGATTCTCAATGTGTTTAAGGGTTCCCATGGATCCCTTCAGATGTACCCAGTATTGTTCCATGTACTGAACTGAAGAAAAAAAGGTTTCAAGAATAGAAGTAGAAAAATGTGGCAAGCAGTCACATTACTTACGGATGGATGATGGGAAGTCCTTGTAAGCATCGAGAACCGACAGTAAAGGGGAAGTCTTGGAGGGTGTTGGTGGCTCCTCGGCAGCTGAGTTATTCTCCTCAGAGTCTGGGAGAGGCCCTCCATACGCCTCCGCCTCAGACTCAGACTCCTCACCTACCCCACTTTTGGCCTTTCTTGGTGCCTGTTAAAGGTTAAAGTTGAGCCTTTAGTCTCTGAATGAGGCAAAAGGCTCATTCAGAGAGCCTTTTGCCTCTCTGAATGAGCAAAAGGTGCTAATGAACCTAGGTTCATATGCTAATGAACTTAAATGGCAAGCATTCAGGTAAGTATTTAGATTAAAGAATTTTACATACCTCATCCATAGATTTTATGATGGCCTTGGCCTTTTTAATCCACCTCTCTTTATTTCTCAACTTCCTCCACAGCTCACTAATCTCGGCGGATTTTTTCTGGCAGGAGGAGCAGGAGGTGGAAGGGACAGCGTCGGCATCTGAGACGTCCACGACCATCTCCTCTTCATCATCGCCCACATCCAGTTTGGAAACGAGGGGGGGGCTGGGATCAGAGGCCCTGAGGGTCTTCAGGCTTTCAATTGTTACCTTCTTTTTAATTCTTTTCACCAACTCCTCCAGCTTTTTAGCTTTCAGCTCTGGGTGTCCCTGCTCAAGGTGCCTGTCAAGTCTGGTCTTGGCAAAATCACATCCCTCCACCGGACAAGACAAGAGCCGAAAGTTGACTCTGCCAGTTGCGTAATTTATGAGAAGCCTCTTCTCTTTTGGATTCTTCACACAATGTCGGTTTTGCAGATGTTTCCCCAGATATTTGAATGGGTACTCACAGAGCGGACAATTGGATGTGTTCTTTGGTGGTGTCATTTTTTTTCAAACTGAAAAGGAGAAATAAAAATAAGATGAAAAAATGCAGGCTGGCATGCATGCATGCTCCTAAATTCATTGAAGCATAAACACATTTTAAAGTTATTTTGCCATTAAAACTAAAAATGTACTTACTTCTGAAACGCACTGCTCCCTCTTCGTGTCTCTCCCTCAGAATGAGTAGCATGAAACAACTTGTACCTTGCCGTCCTTAAGTGGGCCATCAACTTGATGGCCCACTTGATGGCATCAACTTGATGGCCCACTTGATGGCATCAATTTGATGGCCCACTTAAGTCACATGACCCCAGGTGGCGCCGCTTCTCCCATCTGGCCAGACACCTTGATTAACGAGCCTTTGAAGACAGCTCCGGCTCAAACTCCACACGTGCCCCACTTTTGACCTTTTTGAGTGGCAAAGATGTAAGCACTGCGAGCCAGTTTGGACAACTCATGGACCCTGGTACTCAAACACTTGCGAAATGCCATAAAGTCCCTTTGCCACAAGGGGGCACTCAACCATGACCCCTCTGGCACAAAATACGGAGAACTTATAAAAAAAAAAACTACAACTTGTCGAAAGAAGAAGTGAAAGTAATGAAAGAATTAATTGGGAATAAACATATAATCATAAAGCCTGCAGATAAAGGAAGTGTAGTAGTAATCTTAAGTAGGGAACAATATATTAAGGAAGTACATAGACAACTAAATGATACAACTTACTATATAAAAAACTTGAGAAACTAATATATTTAGAAACAATTCCATTAATAAAATTTTAGAAAAATTATATAAAGATAAATTCATTAGTGCGAAACAAAAGAATACACTAAAAGGAGAAAGAACACCAAGACCAAGTCGTTTTTATATTTTGCCAAAAATTCATAAGAATCCACAAACATGGACGATACCGAACGAATTACCACCCGGACGCCCAATTGTATCGGACTGTGGCAGTGAGTCATACCAAACGGCAGCATTTATCGATTATTATTTGAATCCTTTATCTATAAAACATATATTAAAGATACATATCATTTTATAAATTTAATCAAAAATCTTAAAATTCCACAAAATTCATTTGTATTCTCAATGGATATTGAGAGCTTATATACGAATATAGACTTTGAGGCAGGACTAAATTATGTTAAAAATATATTTAAAAAATACCCAGATGCAGAAAGGCCGGATAAGGGGATTTTAGAATTATTGCAAATTAATTTAAAACTGAATGATTTCGAATTCAATGGGGAATTTTATTTACAAATAAAGGGAACTGCTATGGATAAAAAAATCGCTCCGGCGTATGCTAACATTTTTATGGCAAATTGGGAGAACGAGGTACTTGAAAAATGTTTTAAAAAAACCGTTCTATTACTTGAGATATTTAGATAATATAATACGAATTTGGACTTTTGATTTGATGGAATTTGAGGACTAAATAACCATGATTCTTCTATAAAATTGAAATATGAGATTAATGAACAATCAATTAATTTTTTGGACACAACAATTTATAAAGGGGAACATTTTATGAGAACCAATAAATTAGATATGAAGCCTAGGCGCAAATTCAAACTGGAAGACTCTTTAGCCCCACCTGCAGCGTTCAGTCGGCGACCAATCATTGTTGGACCAAGCCACGTCATGGCCAATCACCGACGACCCCTCTGCCTGACTGAGATCCTCCGTCTCCGGATCCTCCGCCACCTTCTCCTCTGTCCAGCTCTGGCAAGCGAACATAATCCCACCGTCTGCATCTCGGCCCGGGAAGTCTTTCTTCACCTGAGACCCTGGCTGGGCCCACAAAGGTTCCGCCGCACTGATCTACGTTGCCGTTCCCTCCCGGCTCATCGTTCCTCATCTCTCCCAGGGCTGGGATCGGAGGCCCTGAGGGTCTTCAGGCTTTCAATTGTTACTTTTTTTGATGCCTTTCACCAACTCCTCCAGCTTTTCCCCATCCAGCTCTGGGTGTCCCTGCTCGAGGTGCCTGTCAAGTCTGGTCTTGGCAAAATCACATCCCTCCACTCACTGGACAAGACAAGTGCCGAAAGTTTACTCTGCCAGTTGCATAGTTTATGAGAAGCCTCTTCTTTTTCGAATTTTTCACGAAATGTTCTTTGCAATTGTTTCCCCATATATTTAAATGGGTAGCCTACTCACAGAGCGGACAATAAAAGCAAGTGTTCTTTGGTGGTGTCATTTTTTTTCAAACTGAAAAGGAGAAATAAAAATAAGATGAAAAAATGCAGGCAGGCATGCATGCTCCTAAATTCACTAAAGCATAAACACATTTTAAAGTTATTTTGCCATTAAAACTAAAAATGTACTTGTGAAACGCACTGCTCCCTCTTTGTGTCTCCCTCAGAATGAGTAGCATGAAACAACTTGTACCTTGCAGTGCTTAATCAATTTGATGGCCCACTTAAGTCACATGACCCCAGGTGGCGCCGCTTCTGGCCCGACACCTTGATTAACGAGCCTTTGAAGACGCTCCGGCTCAAACTCCACACGTGCCCCACTTTTGACCTTTTTGAGTGCGCAAATTGGTGCACTGCCATCCAATTTGGACGATGTGTCCTCCCCTCCCACATGGCAGAGAGGTTAAGACACATGCCTTCCATGCGGAAGAGCCTGGTTCGAAGCCTGGGGCCGACCATACTTTTGACTGTTTACGTGTGAGGTGTCGAAAAAATAAGTCCCATGGTGTTATTGAGCTAGGTATGTAGCCTAGTTGTTAAGCCTAGTGATTAAGTGTTTAAGAGAACCAGGGGGGACTCATGGACCCCCGGCACTGAAATGCTTGAGAAATGCCATAACAGTCCCTTCGCCACAAGGGGGCACTCAACCATGATCCCTGGTGGCACAAATGATCCCTAATGTACAATACAAACTAATACCGAAGTGGCACTGTTTGCTTTCACTGCCACTTTGTATACATGCCATGTCATGCCGGCGTCAAATTGAATGTAAATGCTCTGCCACTTCGGTCCCTCACCCTGACCTAACCCTAACCCTGCCGAGTCGACGGACGAGTTGGGGGTAGTTGTTGATAAAGTTTTTACCCACCTACCCTAACCTAACCCTATGATCTGCCTTAAAGTTAAATCCAGAATCATTTGTACCTTTGGCAGATTTAGATGGGAATTTGTTTTAGTTTATCCAGGAAGTTTGTCTCCAGCAGATATTGGAACCCTAACCTAACCCTACCCTAACCCTAAAGGGCATTGCTTAAAAGATAATGACACAATGCAAAAGTAGCAAAACAAAAAATGTATTTGTTTTGCAAAACAAATACATTTTTTGTTTTCATTATAGGCTGTTTTACCAAAAACTGAATGGTAAAAGTTTTAAGTCTGGTGTTTTGGCCTTGACTATACCTTTTTATGAAAGATAATTTTGTTTACAGAGATTCCATCATTTGTTTTATGCGTTGTTTTGTTTATTTATCTTTCATTTTCAAACCATCTTCCAGGTGCAGTGCTTAAAGTTTCATTGATCTTTGGGAATGTGTTGTTGCATTTTTACGCCGTTATTACGACTATAGGACCGAAAACAGTCTCAAAACAACAATGCCGTTGTTCATCGCAGCAAAATTTGTTATTGTGTCAGGCATTCAGAGGGCATGGTTGTTTATTATATATTAACATTTGTCATCGTTGCGCTCAAGCCCAGCAGGCTTCCTGGGAATGTAAGGAACTATTTGAATCTGGAGATTTGATGCCTGGAATGCAGCGAAGTGACTCACTGTTTCCACCTGGGTAAGCTGGAGTTAAAGAAAGAAAGTGTGTCTTTCTGATCAACAAAAAATCTGATTGAATGGGATTAATAGTTGATAGAGGAACTTTTAGTAGAAATGGAGAATACGCTGAACACAAACTCTTTACGTATATTGGACATTTAATTTTATTGATAAAGTTGCAGCAATACACAAGGACGTCTGGCTTCATATGATATTCTACTGTTTGGGCAAATCGATACAACATCAAACTAAGTCCTAAAACAGAACACTTTATATTACAAATAACTTACAATATGTTTTACTTTTCAAATACTTCATGACTTTCTGTCGTCTACAGCAGCTTCTTTATTGTCATCAACAGTCCAACTCTCTGTCGCGGTTGCGTTGCTGTCCTCCAGGCCAGCAGGTCTTATCAACACGTTCATGTTGAACTCAGGTGGCGGCTGAAACGTGTCCTTCCTCTCCCTCACCTGAACATCAACTCCGTACTGTTTAATGGCTACATTTTCTCCAGAGGAGTTTAGGCGAATCTTATCCTACAATGTGGTCACTAGGGGAGGATTGGTCAGTGTTCACTCTTCATCGCTGCATGTTTCGTCCCACCAGCCGGAGCTGCCCCCTCTCAGGCGGGAGGTCTTGTCATCGTCCGTTTTGTTGCAGACTTTGCAGATCCTCAGCGGTTTGTTGGGGTGGATGCGTTGGATGAGGGCCCGGCCCTTGGAGCACGTGTTGCACACCACGAAGCCGCACTTCCTGCAGTGATGTCGCCGGTTGATGCCGGTGAACGTGGCGAAGCAGCGCATGCACTTCTGAGCGGCTCGGTCGGGGATCCAGGATCTGGCGTAGGTTGTCTCTGTTTGGGGGCCCGGCTCCTGCAGCAGGGTCTGCTGGCAGACCTCGATGTGCTGCATCCAGGCTTTCTTCTCCTCGCCGGAGGAGGCCGACACGTAAAAGGACTTACGAGGCGTGCAGATCAGCCACTGGTGCTGCACATCGTCAGAGTCCTCCAAGTCGTCCAACTTGATGTCCTCTGAAATGACACAATGATCATACCATCTTAACCCAGTTCGGCTGCTGTCTAATTTTACTCTTGAATTGATGTGTGTGACTTACTTAACGGGATGATCTTGGGGTTCTTGTACCAGCGGTTGGTCATGATGATGCTGCTGTACACCAGGATGTCGTTGAAGAGGAAGAACATTTTCTCCTCCCTCTTCTTGCGGCCCTGCTTCATCAGGGGCCCCTCTCCTGTCAGAAATCGACCTGGTGTGAAAAGCTGCGGCGCTGATGGACGGAAGGAGTTCTCAATTTTCTTGATCCTTTGGCGATTCTGATATTCAGAAACTAGTAAATCCATGATGTTAATGTTTTGGTCTGTTGCAGCAGCAAGAGCAGTTTGGTTGTTGAGTGGCCACCAGGCAGAGAGGAGAGCCTATAAAAGGCCTCGCTTTCCTTCCTGGTGACATCAGGGGAATTTTTGCAGGTGGAGCCAATGGGAAAGGAAGTTATGCAGCCACAAAAACAACAGAAAGAAATACAAGAAAACAGCAACAAACACACCTCAGATTTCAAGCGGTTTGGAGGAAAACGAGCGTTCGTCGCTGCAGAGACACACTCCAACCAGCGCCGCTGTTCATTGCACTCCAAAAGGTTCCCTCTGTGCATCTTCAGCCTTGCAAGACATTCTCAACACTACAGAGTTTCACCATAGCGACTTTATAAAAATGGTTTTGTTTTCAGGTGGAGACGATGAGCCCCAACTGAACCTGCTCCAAAGTGACGCACCTGGAGACGACGTTTATTTAAGTGTTTCACGAGTGTTACAATGTTTAATGAACTTCTCTTGAAACCCCTTGAACGGTTGAACTTTAAACATCACTTGCATTTTCTAAAAGACGTTTGTTACTGGCAAACCGTAGGAAACCAGTTATTGAGCCAAGTCTCAGTGTTATATAAGATATCCAGCTTGCCAACCAGGAAATAGTTAATCTGTCAAACTCATGTCTCCGGTATCTGTGTCAGTCATCCAGCTGCCGCATCAACAAGGTCAATAAAGTTATATCATCCTGCTTGATGTCACAAAAACATCTTTTAGGGCCTTTGCATGCCAGGAAATCACTTTTGCTCGGTAACAACAATCACTGCATGGATTGCACGAGTTAATAAAAAGGAACCGGCGGAGTGAAAAAGTACAGCGGACAAACTGAGACTGACTGAGGAACCCCTTTTCGCATATTTCTGACTTTGACTTGCTTAAATATGTGGACGCGACGCAGAGAGTTTCACTGTGTGGGAACGAGCTGAAAGAGGTGAGGACTTCTCCCTCGGCCTCTGCTCCTTTTCGCGCCGTTTCTAAAGCTGGAGCCGTTTGCTTCCCCTCTGCCACTCCCAAAGAAAACCGAGACGTCGGCAGCTGCCAGCTTCTGCTGCGTCTCAGTGGATACTACGAGTTTATGACAGACCTGCCTGGCAAGCGTCTTTCTTTCAACAACTGCTTCGCGCGCCAAACCTTCGGGTTTACAGTTATCAGCTGTTTGATAATCTCTCGCTCTGCGGTTCCTTTGCCGTCTCGCAGATTTGCGTTGAATAACAGGTGTTTTCGAGGCAATTCTATCATTCTGTTACTGTTGACCAAATTTGGAGAATGAAACCAGCATCTGGTGCCTGGACTCAAACAGAGTTGTTGATGCACATTAAGAAGGATTGATAGGTGGCTGGGCCTTGGACACAACTAACCTGAGTTTAACTAAGCAAAAGGCTTCAGGCTCCTTTTAGATAATCACTGTGAGTGGCAACTAGTGATAACTAAAATGTTTGGTGAAGGCAAGAGCATTTGCACATGTGCGTTGTAAAGGTTTTGTTAGGGTTAGGTTAACCCTAACCCTAAATCGCTATAATCACTGGAGGCTAACTGGAGAAAAAGACTTCTCCAGTTAGGGCTGTGATGGCATCAAGTTATAGTGTCTGCCAGGCCTGAAGGACTCAATGAAAGACACCTGAATACATCTGGGGTCCATTATACCGTCCCAGTACGTCCTGACTGATGTACTGGGCCTCAGTGTGGTTTTGTGGATTGCTTTTGCACTTTCAGGCCTTTTTTTTTTCTTCTTTAGTTTCCGTAAAATGGTTTTAAATAAATGTCTAGATTTAAAGAACACACACATGCAATGAATTTGAAACCTTTGCATTAATATGCACCTCATGCAGACTAATCATGTTACCTATTTTGAGCGAAAAGCCTCTCCCCTCCTGCTGAGGCCTGCCTGTTTCAAAGCGGCGCGTTGCACGATCTGGCGCTGCGTTCAGCGACTCTAACCTCAACTTGGATGAAACTAAACTAGCACATGGTCTACTAATTACCACGACGAATTATCCTTCCTCTTCACGATTTTTTAAATTACCGTCTGAAACAAAACGGCTTCTTTCAAGCCATCTTGAATGTGAATCCCTGGAAAACTCAAATGTTTGGTTCGAGGCAATCAAACATTTTCTGAAGCAGTTTTTTTTTTACATTTCAAGATGACAAAATCACTATGATCGCCTCCAGCGAGAGATTGATATGATTGTGATCAAATGCTCTGATCGATTGTTGGCACTAATCCCTGCCTCTCGCCCAGGATGGATGGACAAATCTCTTGAACAATGAGGACACCTAGTGGCCCAAATGTGTAAAAACGAGTGTGATGGACTTCCATAAAGCAACCCAAACCAGTTCAGTTCAGTTTAAAGAACCATTTTTTTTAATTATTATTATTTTATCAGACTAATCTACAGGCAGAAAGCAGTTAAATCTTTGCAAGCTTATTCCATTATCAAACATTTAGCACCATTGAGTCCAGCTGCATGGAGAAAAAAAAAAAGAAAGAAAGAAAACAGCTTAAACACGAGATGTGGATCGTTTGGCTGATCGTTGCTTCTAATAGGGGATTGGTCCGTAGTAGGCAGTGTAGGCGGCGATGATCCCGTTGGTGTCCATCATGTGTTCACAAGCCATGTTGGCCTCACACACTTCCTTCAGACTGCGGAGAATGGGAGAGAAGGCAGAGAGTCTGACACGGACCAGACTGGAACCTCACAAAGTTGCACAAAGCATGAAAAGCCACGGAGCGGCGTTTTGCCGGGCGATGGCACAGCGGAGCGGCGGTACCTCTCCAGCTGAGCCAGGGTCAGCTCTCCTGCAGCTCTCTTCTGCCTCACCACGGCCGAGGCCTCGTCCTTCTCCACAAACAGGCCTGCGGGACACACGTGGAAGGTTTCGCTGGGTTAACGCTGTGCGACGGACTCCAAAAAAGGCCTTTGGGTTTTTTCCAGGTTACAACCACAGCCTGCAGTGTACTTTGTTGGGATTTCACATGAAGGATCAACGCAAAACGGCACAAGATTGTGAATAGAGAGGTAAACGTGTGTTTTGTTTTCGCAAATTTCCAAATGAAAATATGTGAAAGTGAGAAAAGCGTGCAATCTGTTGACCCAGGTAACAGTCACGTTTCTGACAAATCCAAACAGCTCTATTAAAGAAGACAGACACAACGAGTGCAACATATTTTTGGCTGAGTCTAAGTCCAGGCAGCTGATAATCTTTGAAGAAAGTCTCGAAGAAAAAAAAGACATTTAGAGATTAGATTCAGTTTGGGCAACTTTAGAAACAAGAACCATCAAAATCCCATTGAAATAAAGAGAACAGAAGGAAAACAGTTTGAGAGGTTGCAGCCTGAACGTAGAAAAACATTCAAGGGGCGTGAATGCTTCAGTAAAATGAGAAAAGCAACCTGCCCAAACCGAGGAGGCACGTCGAGTTACTCTAATTTTATATTTTCATATTCAAGTAAAATCCCTTTTATCTCAGTGACACTGGACGCATTTAAGGCAAAGTATTTTAGTTTGGTGTCTAGGGCAACTACCTTGATTTAAACTTTATACCTTAGAAAGCTTAGTTTTACTAAATACTTAAATAAATCCCCCAATCACTAAATCAGTCAAATGACAGACATATCGAACGTTTTGATTGTTTGACGTGGATCATAACTGTATCAGATTTCATACCTTCCTCCAGAGCCGGGGCGTCTGCAGCAGGCTGGGGGTCAGGGGCAGCGTCTGGGGAAAAACAGAAGAAGAAGAAGTAATAATTACAGATATCTTTACTGATGTGTCTCGTTTCTTATTTTTTAAACTGACCTGAAGTCATATAGACCGCCAGGGAGCAGAGAACCAGAACGATGAAGGCTTTCATCTTCAGCTTCTTTCCGTCTATCTGCAGTTTCAGGTCTAAGTCGTCTCTCTTCCCTCGTCTGTCCGTCCGTCTGTTCCTTTTCTTCCCAAAAATCCTTATACTTAAAGTCAGTTTATAGACGCGTCCCTCGCCGTGATTGGCTGGGGGAACGTGGATCACACACACACACACACACGCACACGCACACACACACACACACACACACACACACACACACACACACACACACACACACACACACACACACCCCAACGCCGATGGAAAAGATGTGCAGCTTTCCCAGGAGGAGAAACAAAAAGGATGGATTTTTATGTCGCCTTTATGTGGCAAACGGCAAATACCAGAGCAGCACGGGCCAGAAGACCAGAGAGTACCTCGAATAAAAACACGCTCAAAATAAAAACGGAGCTGCTGCAGACAGTGACTGAACTCTTCACAGCAACAGCAGGTGCAGGCCTTCCAGCAGACTCTGGGAATCTTGGGGTGAATATGTGAGAGATATGAAACGCCCCCGTTCCATTTATTTTATTTTTTACAGTTAGCCATTAGAGTCGAGATTTTTGGACACTCAGACCCACAGCTCCTCCGCTCTATGTTACAATAGATGCTTTTTTCACACTTTCGTGTTTGCTGTGGTAAAATGGAAGAGACTATATGACCTCACATGGCTTTCAAACAACACACTGATTTCCAAGAGGCAAAAGGACTTGTCGTCCATTTTGGCCCTTGAAGAAAATGACACGGTCGACGTCTGACCCACATTTGGCCAAACTGTGAGTGACTCGAGACGTCCACATTTGTCAGGGCCCTCATTCCACGCGGTGTGCGGATGTCCGTCCGGTATGGGATGCGGCCCAAAACGAGGACTGCGTCGTCGCCGAGCCGCTTGCTGGTCCATCATCTGTTCTTGTGTTTCTCTGTCACCTCGGTGACGTTTCATGGAAATCTTTTCCTTTCGTTACCGCGGCTGATCTGACTGCAGCCCAAACATCAGCGGCACAGAGGTGGCGTCCACCGCATGACCTTTCAGCAAAACCCCGGTTGCATGCTGCTACTTTCTACATCTCTGTGTTTTGTCACCTGCATGACAGACGCAGCTGGAGAAATCAGAGCAGCTCTTATTATTCCTTCTCTCAGTTTCACAGCCGACAGCTTTGCTGCGCAAGAACGAGACAGAAGTGAGAACCAGCCTGCAGACACCACAGCGCTGCTTGCTGCTGCTCGGAGGGATTTGTTGTCGGATTTCACTGAACCTTTTTAAAACATGTGGCGGCGGCTGGCACCCCGGCGCGGGCCAGAGCCATCCAGAGGCCGCAGGCTTTTTAGGCTCGGGCCGCTCAGGCCAGATGGCAGCAGGAACCAGGCATTACAGTCTGAAGAAGGCAAACCTGCCGACTCTAATGATGCGACGCGGTTTTAATCTGAGGACGCTCGGTTTTACTGCAAACCGCGGCGACTCGCCGCAAAGAGAAGACGACCTTTATGAGCCGCAGCCTTTTCGTTTGAGGAGTTATAGGAGGGATTAAATTTGGAAGTGATATTTATACCAAACTGAAACGGGGGCATGTTTTGAAAACTCTCAAACTGGCTGCGTTTGTGAATGTCGTCATTAAAACTGCAAGTTCATTCCAGAACAATAATTTCTCTGAAAGTTCTAAATGCCTCAGATCAGCCTCCTTAATTTCCTTCATCTTTGTTCAGTAAACTTCCCGGGTCCTGAGAGACAGCGAAAGCTGTAATTTCTCTGTCTGTGTTTTTGCTCTTGGGGATCTGACCTCCAAACATCTTCCACTGCCTATTTGCAGCCACATGGCCACCAAACACCCAGCGAAACTGCCTTCCTGGGTTTGTGGGCGACGCAGGCCCAAACGTCTTCCCAGCATGCAGCGGGGAAGACGGACGCGCCGATCCGTCCTCATGTACAGAAACTAATGTTCACAATGGAATCAACTGGGATCATTTTGTGTTTCTGTTCATTAACCCTGGAACAAGTCTGGAGTTTCAGGTCATAAATGGTGACTTAAAACTTTAGTTGTCCCGATTCCTAAGGTTTTTTTTAGGATTAGAGGTATTTTTAAATTTTTTATGTGTACTTTACTTGTTCCACCAAAGCTCTAATTTTTACCTTTAATTGACCATTTTAAATGCAATAGTAATTGAAGGTTTTCCACATTGTTTTCACTTCTCTGCTCTGTGAGACAATAAGATCACCAAACAGGAGGGAGGCACAGATGCAGCAGAACAAGGTGGAACAGAATGAGCCCCCAATTATCCGCAGCCTAGATTGTGTGGATTTTTCTGTCACTCCAAGTGATTTGTGGAAAACTGACCAGTTTGCAGAGTTTTGTTTGCAGATCGTAGTTCACATTCTCAATGATACTGTTCTAAGAAGCTGAAATGCCTATAGAGGGCTCCATGTGGGGCGCCTCAGGGCTCTGCTCTCGAGCCACTTTTATTCAATGTCCACTTGCTTCACCCTCAGTCGAAAAAATATCACGTTGTAATGTTTCCACATCCCCAGATGACCACAGAACCCTTCGGTCCCCGAGTCTCTCTCTGTCAATGACTTAGTGGACTAGAATTTCCTCCAGCTCAATGCAGAAAAGAGAGAAATCCTGTTTATAGTCCAAGGAATACAATGATACAATGATACCAGACAGAGCACACCAGACACATGGGTCTGATTATGGACTCGGAACCACATGCGGCCCAGGCTGTTATTGTCTTAAAAAAAAAAAAAAACAAGCCAGAGTTTGGGATTTCCTGGAAAAACTGGATCCTGGCTCGAATTTTCAGACGATCGGGTTTGACTTTGAAAAAACAGACAAACAAACAAACAAACAAAAAATACAGCAAGTGACGCTTGTTTCTCGTCAAGTATTAAAGTTTCGAAGCAATCCGTTTAAAATGATCATTGCATGGACTCTGACTGAACATCAGAAGGTGTTTGGGGCCCCCTGCTGGCCTCCAGCGGCTTATCCCATCAGCCCTGCTGTCTTCTTAATAATGGCTTCCAACACAGGGTTCAAGAAATAACTTTTATTTTTGTTTCTTTCAACAAAAACAAAACAAAAAGATAGATAGACAGGTGGATAATATAACAGACATTTCATTCTGGCATTTCCAGCTCCAAAGTAAGACACTAAAACAAGATTACACCTGGAATCAGATTGTGAATATCTGTAAGCATGAGAATAGGATTCAGGACTTCACACTGGACTCCTGTGTTATCCAGGTTTCTCTCTCTTGGCAAAAACTGAGAAAAAGATATAAATTAGGGAAAACTTTAGCAGATGTGGAGTGAAGGGACAGGTGGTGACGAGGGCACCGCCCTGACACTCAACTTTTAGAACCGACGAGTCACAGACGATCTGTAACGGTGCTGCTGCTGCTGTGGTGAATTTCGGCCTCCGAAGTATCTCTGGTAGGCGTGTTGGACGCCGAAGCGGTAAGCGTAGAAGCGGCAGGGTGAGTAGTCCTCACAGGTCTCTGCACGGATCTCTGCTGGAGACTTCCTGTCCCGGGGAGGATTTGGAAGAGAAGCACGACTCCTGTTCACTCACCCAAGATGTGTTTGCACTTTAACCTAACCGAGATAAAGCCGTGTTTTGATTGGCCGTGCTTTACCTCGAGTAGTTCTGGTTGTAGTGGCTGGGTGTGGTGCGTCTGTGGCCATGGATGAAGGAGTTGGCTCGATTTGGAGGCACAAACAAATCTGGAAAAACAAAACTTTCCTAAACAGCAGTCCTGCCACAAGCGCATAAGCCGTGCAAGAAGAAAAGATTTTCTAGGCAGTGGCGGTTTTTGAAATGGGCCATTTTGGGCAGCTGCTAAGAAACAGCAATATCTGCCCCACAAACAAATTTTTTAAAAATGTTTTTGCTTTACATGATTTGTGTGGGACTGCACAAGGTTGTGCAACCTTACAAATAATATAACAGACATTTCATTCTGGCATTCTGCACAAGGTTGTGCAATTTTACAAGGTTGTGGGTCCCGACTTGTTTTTTTTTTTGTTTGTTTGTTTGTTTGTTTTGTTTGGAGCCCAGAGCACCATTCATCCAAGAACCACCACTGTGATTCGTTAAAGGAAATCAGCGTTACCACAGTCTGGGTTAGAAACGCATGCATGTTTTTCCAGGCACTGAGAAATATTTTTTTTTTGAAACACTTAATCACCTTCATGGGATTCATTGCTTTCACTAGAATCTAAGGGAAAAACATGAAGTTGGTTAATCACGAGTGCTGAACATAAACTTTATGTTTATGCATTGAGTTTACGCCCCGTTTGGACGCTGGGGGCGTTGTATACCGTAGCAGACACAGAGGGAGACCACAGCGCAGAGGGCCAAGAACTGAAGGAGGCTCCTCATGTTGGGTGGTGTTGGACCTTCCTTACTGCTGACACAGGAGAGACGTCATGTCAGAAAGCAAGAGAAACCCTGGAAACAATGGCTTACTAAGATCATGGCTGATGAAAGTGGGATCACAATGGCAACAACAACAGATTTCTGTCCAGCAATGACCTAAATTTTTAACTTGTACATATAAAATGTAAAAACAGATCATTTACACACCCGATGATTCGTAACTAATTAAATATTTGACAAACGAGTTTGTTGTGGACTCCTGTACACACAGTGAATAGGGACCACAAGTGGCTGAAATCCCCCAATACTTACATATTTTAACAGATGAAACACAAAATGTACCTTAAAATGCATTGATACACAGTGGAAACGCTCTTGGCATCACCACTGAATTCAGTATCCACAGTCTTCATCATCTCCGCTCCAATCAGTGGCAAAGAAAATCAATGCCACCTCTGGATTGGCTGCTTTCCGAGAGTCGGCCAATAATGTGCCAAGTAGCATTTCACTGAAGTATTCCAGCTTTGGAACCTCCATATTCTTTTGAATAGCATAATTTACATAATTTAGTCACATTTACAGAGAAATCTCCAAAAGACGCAATACAGTGAATACTGAACTGCCAATAAGCAGGAGCCGTACACAGCCTCCTTTGGAACATGTTGCAAGTTCAAACGATAAAATATGTATGACAATCAGCTTGAATCAGTAACTGCAGTTAGAATGATCTCTGAGGATATCAATGAATAGAGGAACTTGATCCTGGATCGTTGGTATGTTGGGTCTGATCTCATTCCTAGATCCAAACTTTTCATTTCGACTGACAGCAACATCAGTCGCCAGCAGCATTTCACCTCGGTTCCTCATGGTCGAATCGTTCTAATCGTTCTGTACACAACGTCTCACCCAATGACCGCTGGCGATGAGCACCAAACCCCCCAGCGACCCTGCAAAGGTGAGCAGGTGTAGACAACGGATGGATTGATATTCCACCAACAGGCAGCCCTTATGCCCCCAGTTACACTTATTTATTTTTAGGAGCGCAAAGTTTATGGCATAATTTATGAGACATGTTGGTGTGGAATATTTGCAAGGCAACACAAGGCTGTGTATTTGTATTCGGCCTCAAGAGAAAGTCTGAACTAAACACAAGACCGGTCCCAGAGATGTGTTTCAGCTCCAGTTTGAAGGAAAGAGTCTTCAGAGGATAGTTGTGGCCGAGGAGCGCTGGGCAGCAGCCAACTCCTTAAAGTCCAAACTCATTTTGCTCAACAGAGTGGAACCATAAACTCTTCTTTATAGCGCGCTACGCACAAGAACACCCACAGAGGAGATGTCTAGATGCAAATAGACAATCCCAGGAATGAGAGACTCAACATAAAGCATTGAACACCTGTATAAATACTTACACCAGGTGGTTTGCATGTCCAGACTGCTGACAAGGTTCTTCTGCTGGTGTGATTTGGAAGGGATTCTGTCTCTGCAGCCAGGCCTCTCTTGCCATCAATGGCTGCTTTCATTACATGTGAACTCACACATCAAAGTGTGCACACACACACAGACTGTACACAACTGCACACACAGCATCCCGCGCCTAAGGCATTTTCGGTTCAAAGCTCACTTGCGGTAGGTGCAGGGAGCTAAAGAGAAGTCTTCAACAACCGGAGATACAGAGTCATGTGTGTGTGTGTGTGTGTGTGTGTGTGTGTGTGTGTGTGTGTGTTCACAAAGTTTTATGCTGTTCTGATTCTAAGGGAAAGTTTCCAGCGTTCCTGTGCTTATCTCACTGGAAAAAGGCGCAGATGTGATGCTGGGTCATACAAAATGTCAGCAACTTCTAACGATCCTATTAACTAAACTGAGGAGAATAAACTGTAACGATTCCTTAGCGTTATTTTAAAAAGATTAGCAAAAACAATCCTTTACAAAGAGGATGTCAGATTCCCCTTTGCTTGCTTTTAGTCCAGCAGAGGACAAATAAAGTATTAGCAGTAAACACGAGAAATAAAGTACTTACTATGAGATCTGGATGAAGGGAGAAGTTTTGGAAATATCGCCCCGTATTTACTCCTGTGAAATAATTCCTAATTCCCGACAGCAAAGCCTTTATACTCATCACATCCCACCCACCCTTTCATTTCCTACCTACGGGCTCCCTCCCCTCTACCGCCTTCTCGCCCTCCTTCCCTCTCATGGTATCAGCCCTGTTTTCCAACATTTAATCAGACCGGAGCATTAGCTCACGTCTCTCCAACTCCCACGCCGGGCAACCAGCAGGGCAGCGCATTGCTTCAGCCGATGCAGCGGCCAGGGGGGAATCGAGAAAAACAAGTTGGGGATAATAAACAGAGATGAGGGGCAATGGAGGGGGACGGTGAGTGAAGGATGGCAGAGGGCCATCGAACCTGCTTTGCAGCAGGCACATGAAAATATTCACTCCTGTTTGCCAGCGTGAAGAAAAAAAAAAGCATCCAGCATGTGGACACAATGTCTGTCCTTGGTTTGACCGAAATGTGCCTGAGACGACTGCTAGCTAATAGTCTCGACCTCGCTACTGATGGATATTTCATAATAGCCGATGCTGATATTTATTCAGCCATTATTGAATCCTGATTGCGTCGCCTTCCCCTCTGCAGAAAGCTGAGCACCTGTGCGATCGTGGGTTCAAAACGCTCCGACTGCTTGCAGGTCAAGAATCCTTCTGCTTTTCTCTTCAGGGTTTGTCTCCATGTAACTCGACGCTGGAATTCTGCAGCTCGGGAATCTTCATGAAGGGAAACCATAGAAACAGTCAAAACTCCCCCAAGATCAGGGAGAACTGAGGCCACTTTCCTGGAGCAAGGCCTGGTGGCGGTGAGTTCATGGAGGGATGTTTTGGCTCTTGAGGCATCACAATCTCCAAGCCAAAAAAAAAAAAGAAAAATCTTCAAAAACCCAAGTCGAAGGCGAGCCAATACCTGACTTTACAGGGTCCAGTGACATGGAACAAAACCAACTTTGGAGTTTGAAATGAATGTGTTTTGACATGAATGTGGGAGAATGGAGCCATAAATAGATGGTTGGATCACGACCCAGAAGCTCTGTGCACTATCAACTGCACTAATGTGTCAATTATATGTGGGCTGAACTATTCAGAGACATTTATCACTTGGCAAGAACAGCACAAGGGCACTGCTGAGTAGACCCTGGGAAATTTCTTAATATATGTAATCTGTAGTTCTGTTGGTACAGACTTAGGTTGCTTCAGGACAACCTGACCAATTTCCCTCACTTTATTTTCCTACTACTCTAACTTTTCCATGATCTTAACTGTTAATTTTATGCTTTTTGTTTTCTCCATTGAAGCTACCGCTGGTTGCTTTCTGTTGGCTGGTTGGATGGAGGGAACTGGCTGAGATATTACTGCCAACAATTACATTTTGCTATTAATCTTTTCTTTTAACGAACATATAGAAAGACCTCCATCGGCTCTTTGGTTTGTTTGTCGTTTGTCTTCTCAAATCCCCAGTAGGTTGAGGTGGGGATAAACTCAACCTACTGGGGTTGAGTTTCTGGTTGAGAACCAGAACTCGTACTGAACCGAGTTCTGGTTCTGCTGGAGATTTCTTCCTCTTAAAACGGAGCGTTTCTACTACATGCATGCTCGGTTTGTGAAGACACAATGCAAGTGGTTGTCCGCTGTTGCTTCGTGCTCATCAAGGAGGAGTGAATACTGCAAGTCAGTGGCTTGTAGCAATCTAAATCATTTCTACAGAAACCCACCAAACTAATTTGTACAATAACTGAGCTTCATGTACTGTTTGATAACTAGGATCAATTGTAGACGAAGAGTCCTCTCCACCTGCTTTATTGCACTAGATGGACCGATCAAACGATTGAAGATGATTGGTTCATGGTTTTCTGGGCATGTCTCGTTAAGAGGAGACCCAGATTACCATAGACGATGGACTGTCCTCTAGTCTGTGGATGACTTATGGTGCAGGATTGGGCTGAACACCATTCTGAAACCAACGTGATAACCATTCTCAGCTTTGTGCTGAGCATCACAACGCTAAAATGTTATGAAGTGAGCCTGGGGTAAAGGAGAGCAGAGTGCAATTACTGCATCACACTGAGAAGCTATGCGTAAGGTTAGCCCACCGGTTTTTATGGCTGAATTTTGAGAAGACGGAGGAACGGCTTTTTAGACTAATGATCTCCAACTCCAGTCCTCAAGGGCCGGTGCTCTGCAACGTTTAGATGCTCCACAACACCTGGCTCCAATATAAGCTCATTAGCAGAGCTGCGTGAAGCTCGACTGCATGCCAGTAAAGCGGTTTAACCATTTCATGCAAGTGTGTGAGACAAGAAACGCATTTAAAGCTTGCGGGACTCAGAAACGTTCCCAAAATGTAGCCACCGCCATAAATACCTGGAAATAGCAGGCGGCACGAAAGTAAAAAAAAGTGTTACAAATGAATTTCAATGCACTTTTTTATTTTTGTATGATGCCTTAAAGTCGAACAGGTTCTTGCATTGGAGGAACTTGTCACATCTCGTTTAAAGTTGTCCTTTCACAAACCTAAAATGGGGGACTGGAGTCCCAATGTTCATCTTTTCTGGCCCAACCCCCATAATTTACTAATCAACAGTATCGTTTTCATGTGACAACAGATCTCTGCAATATCAAATAAATATGCCTGTGATCTGGTTCCAGTGGTTAGCAGAGATATCTCAAAGGAAAAGTTTGACAGTTCAGATCTCAGTTGAGGTTTTCCATGCCTCCCCTCCCCTTCAAGCATGTGTGGCCTCTGACTTCCAGCTATAATCCAAAAGTGTGCATATTTGGTTAATTAGGTGTGACTGCAAGGGGTTGTGGTATCTCTTCGGCTCCTTGGATATTTCATAGTGAAAAGGTTCCTGTCAGTCAACATAAGCTAAGTGAAAGACCATAACTGGACTCTTCAGTGGTTGTGGATCTGGTTCCGATAGATCCTGGTCCAGAAGCACCAACATGTGGGAATAGAGACTTTTCAAAAACCAGTCAGAATCACGTTGCGAGGCTTATTTTTGATAGCACTCACATTTTCTGAGGACTGAAAAACCCAGAATTTAGACCATTAGACAAACTCAGCAAAACAAGCAGTATTGAATATTTTGGAATCTTTGCATAAAACCATGAAGGATTTCAGATCTACATGACAGCAACACACAACGTTCCACAATACGTACTTACTGTGAGGTTGTGAAAATGTGCCTGGAAACTATCGAATCCTGCACCTTTACGTAAAAACAAGACCTTATGGTAAATATGTTGCATTTTTTGTTGCACTTTTCAAGTGATCGCTCAAAAAGCCTGAAGTCACGCTGCGGTTTTTTTTTTTTGTGTGCTGTCAATTTCATGTGCTATTTTTCCCCGTCAAATCATAACCATATTCAGCCGCATTTTTTTACGCGGTTTAGTTAATATTGACCTTTTGAACCGTGAATCCAGATCCCACACGTAAAGCGGATGAAAGCGTCAATTTTTCTCACCAGCGACAAAAACCCACTGACTGCGGCCGCAGCAGCTTCTGTTAAATTAAATTCAACGACTCCGCTTAAATTATGAGTAGGTTTCACCTGCTGGGGTCTGAATGCACTGAATCTGTGCTGATCCACAAGTCGGCTGGATCGGCCTGATCCGGACCGATCAACTGAACTTTACCCAGAGGAAAAAAAAAAAGCAACCCGACAAGCGGAAGCTGGAATCAAACCAACGACCTTCCGATTGCAAGATTTCACCCGCTGAGCCTGATCTTTATCTGCAAACCCTCAGCACGCCGACCGCAGCACGAGGGTAGACAGGACAACATCTCTGTGGCGCACATCTGAGTTACATAAGACCACCGCAGCTGCCTCAGTCACAGAGCTCCATGGATAGTTATGTGAGGCCGACCTGACCCTCGCCAAGAGCAAACAAACCGAATAGGTGAGTCCTGCGCCAGGAAACCAAAAAGTCCAGACGGAAAGATAAACACAGAGACAGTCTGCAAGAAGGAGATAAACTCTCACCATCTGATAAAAGTGGCACTAGAGAGGTAAAAACAAAATGATGGCAATAAAGACGAGGGGCAGATAGTGCACACAGAAAGTTTTTCCGCCCGTGGTTTTTAGATGGATCATTGTGGGGTGTAACTGTCTGAACATCAGAGTTAAAGTTGCATTATTTCACAAAATTGCCCCGAAACAGAACAAGGAAATAAAGTGAAGGGGAGGTGTAGTTAATTGTGCAAATTTCAGGCTATTTGCAGAGTTAATGAAGAGCTTAGTTCTAAGATTTGGGGTTAGATGAAGGCAAACTAAGCGAAACGCAGGTGATTGCATGAAAAACAGGAGCACAATAGCGCATTTGTACTCATATCCCTTCAAGATCCTCCACAACCCTTTTCATTTCCCTTCAAATTGCTCCGGCATTTCTGCCTTCTCCCGCTCCTTCTCGTGCACCTGGAGTCGTGTTTTAACCGGTCACCTCCTCAGTCGACCGCGCCAGGGGCAGAGATGGACGATAAACGAGGAACAGGGAGGATGTGGTAAACAGGATGAGAGTCAGCCGGGCGGGACGCAACGCGGCGGCTGCCTTTAGTAACGCTCCTGCACGGCACAGAGCGACCGGGAGCTATCGGAACCAGATCGGCACGCAGCGAGAGGTAAACACACGGAGAGGCCATGTGGAGGAAATTTACAAACTCCGTCGCATGCGATAGTGACAGACAAGTCTGTTGATGAAGTCCTGGAAAAGAGATGGGAGAAGGCGTGGAAAAGGAAAGAATGAGCCTTTGCCTGGAAAGAAAGTATGAAGGAGTGACTTTTGACTTCATTATGAGGCTATTACCACAAATGTGTAAACTCTACATGTAATGTCTGTGAAAACACCTTTTCAGGGCTGTTTGTGTTTGTTCCTCGGGCTGCTTTGTGCGTGTCGGTCTGAGCGCACACAGCACACACTGACAAACACCAATTTGAAAACAAGTGTACCCAACATGTTCTCCATTAATAACTTTTTTCTTGTTTGTTGCCTTATGCAACTATCTTTGCTGTGATTGACAAAACACAAGGGAAACATGGAGGTGTGTGTGTGTGAC